GAAATTACACACACGGTAGTCTACAGTTATAACGTTTATTCAGCAAGCCCAACACATGTAAATATCGACCAACAATGGCTGACTCCGGTGCCCCGGGAGAGGGCGCACTATTGTTTACCATTGAATAACAACCCTGGCGCAGTATTAATTATGAACGAGCTAGGCCTAGGCTAGGCCCTAGCTTAAAATAGTAATAGTATTATGCCTAGGCTATATTATACTTTATAGTCCTAGCCTAGGCTAGCCTATACTACCTACTCTAGCCTATGCCTTAAAAGCCCTATTCTATGCCTATAAGAATCGGATTTAGGCCCTATTTAACTTTGCTTTAATTTAGCTAGGCCTAGTCCAGGCTAGGTCTGGGGGGGGAGATGTGTATAAGAGGGGGGGGGGGGGGGGGGGCTAGGCCTAAGTATAATTAGGCTAGGGTGGGTAGGTAGGCATAAGCTCTACTTACGCAGTTTTATTATGGCCAAATGACTGATGACAAGAACAACCGACCAACAATGTTTCGATTTTTGATTGAAAGACGTCGACAACCAGAAAAACAGTAATGAGGTTTAGACAAGACTTCTGCATAAGGAGAGGGTGCGTCGCCAACTGTCTGTGATTTCAGCCGCCGGCGGGAAAAAAAAGCCTGCCCGCACACGAAAGCTAACTACTTTACACGCGCGCCCAACTGTGATTATTCGTCGTACGCGCGTGCACTTCTCCTAAAGCCCGCCGCACACGACGAGATTAACTGTACTTCCTGCCTGCTAATTATAAGGTGCTCATATGAAACTTGCTGAGGTGCTCATGTGAACCTGGTGGATTTAAAACCAATCATGTGAACCTGCCGAGGTGCTGATTTGAATCATGAGGTGCTCATGTAAACCTGTTAGTACTGAGTTGAATCCGTAATGTGTTGTGAACTTACTAAGTGCCTGTTACTATTGTCGACGTTCGTAGCAGTCCCCGACGCAATCGGAAGGCTCCCCGATTCGACCGACCAATATGCATAAACTTTCCATAAAATCGCTAACCTTATCGGCGACAGTCGCCGACAGTTGTCGGGAAGGTTGAATCTGGTTCAACTTTGCCGACTGCGTTGCAGACGAATCGGGGTGTGCTTTACCGATTGCATCTGGGCACATGGATCCCGATTCGTCTGCAACGGCAAAGTTGAACCAGGTTCAATCTTCCCGACAAACCGTTCGCGAAAGTGTTAGCGATTGTATGGAAACCAAACGAAAGCTGTCGCCGGTAATTAACGTATAGCGATTGTACATGGAAACCAAGCTTTAACCTGCTGAAGGTTTTACTCATGTAAACCTGTGATAGTTACTCGTGAACCTGCTAAGATACTCATGTGAACCTCTATGGGTGCTGATGTGAACCTCTCTATAGGGTGCTGATGTGAACCTTGTGGTGCTGTGAACACTGAAAGTACTTATAAGTTGAGCCCCAAGTTAAGAATTTGCACCTTTGAGGTGCTAATAATGAACCCAATGAGATTTTCTGACCGCTTGAAGTTGCAGCTTCTCTGTCAATCATGCCCTTTAAATCGTGCAATTTTGATCCCCAAAAAACTCTAAATATCAAATAGGCTTTAGATAACCTGCTTGTCTGGAAAAAAAAAATTAATGCTGGTCTATTATTGATGCATTTTTCGAATAAAACACTACGTTTCCGTGTCGAACACTGTTATGAATCCCAGACAGAACATATTTTGTGTAACTAATACTGGCTTTTGACCTAGCTAGACTTATTCCTTTCGACTATAAGAAAGGTACATTTTTGCACCATCTGTATTTTCCGATAACAAAAGGTGCAAAAATGAGCCTTTTAATCGGTTATCTGAACTCTGCACCCTCTCTGCACCTTTTTATACGGAAAAGGTGCAACTGTGCACCATTTTCTATCTTTGCACCTTTAGTTGCACCTTTATTTTTAACAGTGTATATCATTATATTTTTGGCAATTTTGACAATTTGTTTTGGTCTAGGTGAGCATAAGCAGCACACCTAAATGTGGCCAAATTTCATCATTCTTCGAATAAATTGACTTCCGTTAGTACCCACTATCGTATGATAAAAGTCTTAATAACAAAATGGATTAAAATAAAATACAATATACCTGAAATAGCTGTCGCCGCCTGCCTGCAACGGCTTCTGAGAAGAGCCTGACGTCCTAGACAGTACACCCCTAGTGCCTCCAAGTCAATTGAATCCTTTGTATCCTGTTGGCAATAATTATTTTGTACTTATGTTTATTTAAGAGTTAGTTTAGTGTTTTTTTAAGTAGTTGGTGGTTAAGTAGGATCATACTTTTTAGGGTTTTGGGTGGGTGGGGTTTTGGGGTGAGGCAACCCTACCCTACCCTGGGGCATTTGCATGCGAATTTTATAATTGTTTTTTATAGGTGTTTTGAGCGATCAATTATTTATTTTTCTTTCCTTCTTTCTTTATTATTACTTTTTTAAACTTTCCAAAAGGGGAGCCGTGGCCGGCCTGGGCTCACTCTAAATCCGTCCCTGGGATGGAGTTTTGACGGAGGGGCGGGGCTGTCTCTTATACACATCTACGTTCGTTTGAGGGAGTGTGGTTTTGGGGTGTGGTTTGGGGCTGAAGATAGTGTTGTTTTAGAGTTGGGGAGCGAAGTGCATTGATTGATTGATTGATTAATTGATCGATCGATCGATTGACCGAATGACCAGCTGATTGGTTGGGTGGTGGTTGGAAATTAGGAACATATTATTTCTAATTTCATAGAAAGGTATTTGCGGTAAGCCGAGATATGCTCTGTACTGGGTGCTTTTGTTTGTTATTGTAATTGAACTAAGAATGAGTTATAGTCATTATAACAGTAATTTGTTGTTCCACATTTACAGTGGAATTAAGGGACGTTTATTTGAGTATACTCCATTTTAGCGTGTCTATTTTGAAAGAGTGCCACCAACGTCTTGCCACTTTTTACTTGGGTTATCCATCCTTGTTGTTTGCAAAAACACTGTAGTTTCTATGCTCCTATTTTTCG